TATAATTTATTATAAATAAAAAAAAACATTATAAATATATAATTGGATTCGCAAGATTCTGGAAAAAAAAAAATCTTTCTCCTTGAAAATACAATTTTATAGAAAAAAACTTTCTTTTTGATAAAGAGAGAGAGAGTAGATTTTTTTTTTAAATTTTAACCTTTTTCTTTATAAATTTTAAATTTTTTTTTTTCGTTGATCGAATAATTTTTGGTCTATTCGTAATCTTATTATCATCATTAAAAAAGGTTAAAATTTAAAAAAAAAACCAAACTAAAAATGGGAAAAGTAAATTCTAAAACGGTTCATTATTCACTTAAATCGAAGAAGAAACAAAGACAACTATCAACAAATTCATTCTCTTCAACTTCAACTACTTCATCTAGTGAAGTTTCACATTCCTCACAAGAAATATCTCCAAATGAAGAAGAATTATTTCAATATGTTGATAATAGAAGATTTTATAAATGGAATGATTATGTAAATTATGTTTACCCTGTTGATCATGACGAAACCGATAGAAGTCAAATGCAACATTTTATGTATAAACATGTTTGGGGTAGGAATTTTTCTTCTCCTATTGAACAAGAATTACAATCTGATTCCATGAGAATTTTAGATGTTGGGTACGTATATAATTATATATTTTAAGTTATACTTATTCTTTTTTTAAACGAGAATTAATCGCATATATATAAATATCTAGTTGTGGATCTGGTACTTGGATATTAGAGATGGCCTCCGAATATCCAAATGCTCATTTTACAGGTGTTGATATCGCTCGCCTTTATCCTTTAGAAATAAAACCAGAGAACGTTTCTTTTTCTCAAGCAAATGTCCTTGTGGGCTTACCTTTTCCAGATGATACTTTTGATTTTATTCACATGAGTTTTATGCTCTTTGCATTCACTTTAAAAAATTGGGAAATTGCCATAAATGAATTGGTAAGAGTATGTAAACCTGGTGGATATGTTGAATTAATGGAAAAGGATATTTTTTGGTTCAATGAAGGTCCATTCTGTAAGGCCGCTCGTACAGTCAGTGAGTATCATCTTTTATTTAGATTTAGGAGAAAAAAATAATCTTCTTTGATAACATGAATTAACGGTTCATTCATTATTATTATTTTAGTGGCGGAAGAACTAAGAGAAAAAAAGAGCATGGAAGTTGTTATCACACCAACTTTACAAAAAGTCCTATCACAACATTCTACCGTTAATCATGATGAAAAGGTTGTCCCCTTAGGTGAATGGGGAGGTAAATTGGGTAAATTATATAGAGAATTATATTCTTGGGGAGCTAAAAATTTGAAAAATGTTATGATCGATGTTGGTTTTAGCGAAGATGAATGGAATGAAACTGTCGATATTTGTTTAAAACAATTACAAGAACGTAAAGGTTACGATAAAATCCATAGATTTTGGATTAAAAAGAACGAAAATTGAAAAAACATTTTGAACTTCATTTTTCCAAGAAAGAAAAATTTTTTCATTTCATTCGTTTAAAAAAATTTTTTTTTAACTTTCTGGAAAAAAAAAAAAAA